TTGCCACCATCTAGAGCTACAGGAAATGGAGGCTGGAGAAAACATGATAGTCTCCACTATTGAGACCAACAAGGGAAGAGTCCTTGCTGTCCCCTCTCCTCCCTGCTCCAACCCAGACTTTTCCTAGCCATCATAATTCAGAGAGACCTGATGTACTGGTCTCTAGAGGATAATGGCCCACGTCTGTTGAGTATCTTATACCATCCAGGACTGTCCTTACCTCAAGGATATTTCCAGTACCACATGTCAACCATGAAAAGCTGGGAACCCCTGTTCTAATTTGATTTTTTAAAAGAGCGAGTCTGATTGTGTTGCTCAGGCTAGCCAGGAAGTCTTGAGTTCAATGGATCCTTTCACCCTAGCCTCCCACAGAGTGACATCTATAGGCACTCCCTGTCATACCTGGCAATTTAGCTTGCTCCACTAAAACAACAACAACAAAAAGACCACAGTAGATTCTGGCATCCTAAACGTGTTCGAGAGCCAACTGCCAGCTTCATTCCACTCCAATTAGCCAAAGTGAGTTATCGTCTGAGATTCCCCATAAAGCTAGCCTTCTAATTGTTGTGGTTAAGCAGGCCTCAGGCTGAGCAGAGAGATGGGAGCCAGCCTCACAGAAGCCAGATAAAGCCACAAAGAGGATAGAGTATGGGGCAAGTGTGGTCAGTCTTAGCCTCGGGCTTCCAGTTTGGTTTATAGAGACACACACAAGCATGACATCACCTCAAGAAGGAAGTAAAAAAATAGAGTTGAGCAGTTGAGCTTATGGCTTAAGTTCCCCCAACTGCCTAGCAACCCCAGAAGCCCGGGTTATCTCATTCCACTAAAGCTTGATGATAGGGCTGGAGCCAATGTCCTTATTCCTTCTCGTTGATTACCAAGACTTGAGAAGTCTGGAAATCCATGAGGTGATAGGCTTCACATGAGCTGGGACAACACACCTTTGTAACTAAGATGGGAAGCAATAGCACCCTTTTGTCAGCCACAAACTCCTGCCTTCTCTGAAGAGACCACATAGAGCCCTCACGTGAACTTGAGATCAGCACCTGCACAGAGTAGACTCTGTAATGGCGCCAGCCTCAACCTGTACTCACATCTGCAGGGGTGGCTCAGCTCAGCCTTTAACAAACAGACCATGGGTCTGGGCTGAGAGATTTCCACTGAAACATAGGAAAATCAAAATGGAGTCACTGGTAACAAACCCCAACAATACAAGTCCCCCAAACCCCTGGGAAGTGTCTATTCTACTTGAGATTTCACAGTTGTGATATATACATTTAAAAAGCAATTTATTAGGGAAAGGGTTTATCTAATAATTCCAGGCTATAGCTCACCCTCACAAGGGAGTTAAAGCAGGATCTTAAAGCCACTAGTCATCCACAGACAGGGCAGACAGAATAGACCCACGAATCCTCCCAGATCACTTTCTCTTCTCTCATAATGTTAGAGACCTTTTGCCTAGGGAATGGTGCTGCCCACAGTAGGTTGGTTCTATCCACATCAATCAATAATCAAAATGATCCCCAGAGACATCCCTAGAGGCCAACCTGATCTAGATAATGCTTCACAAAGAGAATCTTCCTTGATGATTCCAGGTTATATCAAGTTGACAGATAACACTACCCGGCTCTGAGCAAGTGGAAGACCTCTTCACGGGCATGCTCCTGATGGTGCAAACTGTCAGGATCACTACCTTGCCCAGAGGTCACCATGACCTCACATAGTGAATATTTCTGCAAGGACATTGCTTGTCTAACAGTGAACTGCCCCCCACCTCTGTATAATCAAGGACTATTCATTTACAAGCTACCTGTTTATCCTGTTTATCTTGCCTCAGCCTCTCCAGATGCATCCACAATTGGCTACAACACATGTGTTGGTGCCACTCCAGAATAAACCAGTCTTTTCAGAAACTGTCTCTATCATTAGATTACCATCATTTGGGACCAGTGATGGAAAAAAAATGATTGTAGCTTCTGGCTTTTTTGTTTGGTTGGTTGGTTTTGTATTTTGCTTTTTGTTTGTTTTTTTATTGGATATTTTATTTATTTACATTTCAGATGTCATCCCCTTTCCCCATCCCTCTCCCAGAAACTCCCTATCCTATCCCCCTCCTCCTTTTTGCTTTTTTTTTCTTTATTAGTATTTTAAGTTAACATACAAAGTACTGGGTTTTATTTCAGCATCCTCATACATGTGTCATTAGAGTTCTGATTTGTTTCTCTCTGCCCCTTCCCTTTTTTCCTCCAGCTAGTTTCCTCATCTGATTTCCTGTCACATGTATTCCATCACCCTCCTTCCTCATCCTTTTTTGTTAATTAGTAACTTTTTTTAAAAAATGTTAATCAAAGGCTTTATAAGTTTGGTAACGCTCAATAACAAGATGCCCATGCAATCAGAAGTGTAACTCAATACCCAACCTAGATATACCAACTATCTTTGACTGGCGGAGACACACAAACATCCGCCTCCATGTTCCACCTCTCTCTCTCTCTCTCTCTCTCTCTCTCTCATCTCCTAGCTCCTCCTCTCACTCTCCTCCTCCTCTCCTTACTCCTCCTCTTACTCTCCTTAGCTCCTCCTACATATCACTCTTCCTGTTAAAATAAAACTTTTCTCTCAAAATACAATTAGAGCATAACTATGCCAATTTGTATCAGTAAGGTACGAGATAGATCTAATACCCAGTCCATCATTTTGTTGACTAACCAGAACCTCTGCCATTTCTCCTAAATAAAAGACTTAGTTCTGAATCTGTTTTTTTTTTTTTCTTGGCTTTAGAATGAATGTCAGCTGAAAACCATCCTCTCAAATCTTTTCTCTCAAAGTAAATGGCTGGTATTGGCTATGAGACTATAAGTCTTCAACCTCGTTAGAAATCCAGAATGACTGCATTAACTGAAATTATGGGAAGCACAAAGCATAGCTTCTAAAACTTAGCCAATTTATAGAGACCGCTGAACACCTGGACAGTTCCTATACTACAAAACGTTGGGGCATCTGATCTTCAGCCTTCTGGCTCAGGATCATCTGATAGACCTAGTGATGCAGAATTATTAAGGGCTGATTACTCTGTCTTGGCAGATATAATCAGTCTACTATTCTGCAAGTGTGTCCTTTTCTGGACAGTAATTTGTCTGTAGATGAAAAGAGGCAATTCTTGCCTAGTGGCTGTCTCACCACAACTGGAGTAATTCCAAAGATGCTCAATCTCTTCTTAGAATCCAAGACAGGAAACCGTCAGGGGCAGACAGGTCTCTAATCAAAATGAACATCAACGATTCAATTCCCCAATAAAAAGGCATAAGCTAATGGACTGGATACGTAAACAGGGCCCAGCATTCTGCTGCATACAGGAAACCCACCTCAGTGACAAAGACAGACACTACCTTAGAGTAAAAGGCTGGAAAACAATTTTTCAAGCAAATGGTGCTAAGAAACAAGCTGGAGTAGCCATTCTAAAACCTCCAGCCTGAGAACACAAAGGGAGCGTCTCATGGCTCCACCTGTATAGGTAGTTGAGGGTGGCCTTGTCAGGCATCAGTAGACGTGGAGGGCCTTGGTGCCTGAAAGTTTGGATTCCCTAGTGTTGGGGAATTCGAGAGCAGGGAGGCAGGAATGGGAGGATGGTGGGAGTACACCCTCATAGAAACTCCCAGAATTATATGGATTAGACATGACAGAGGCAGGTTGCCAGAAGACTAGATTCCAGAATTCAAACAAAAAATTATCTTGATACTAAAATTTGTTTGTTTGTTTTAACCAAGAGGCCACAGTCAACTCCAGCCATCTTTCTCTTCAGTTGTGCACAGAAATAGCCTTCGCTCCCTCTCTCTCAGAGGCATATCCACTGTCTACGGAATTTGCTTTCCTAATTTCTGATTCTCTCCTCTTCTGCAATTTGGCCCTGGGAAACAGATCTGCCTAAGCACATTTTCATGTAGAAATGGCGAAATAGCATCCGTTCCCAAAATTTCTGTCTGAAGAAGTGAGCTTCAGTCCACATGCAAATGATGCTAACATATCCTGTTTCTCTTCAGTGGCACTTGCCTCCAGGGACACACAAGTCCCATAGCTTTCAGACCTGCAGCCCTGTCCCTACCCTGAGACAGTAGTTCTGTCTCACAGTGCTGACTCTAGTCACTAATGTTTGAAGGATGGACTTCCTGTCAGGACCTCAGCCACATGCACACGAAGAAGATGATGAAGAAGATGAAGGAGATGAAGGAGAAGGAAGAGGAGGAGGAGGAGGAGGAGGAGGAGGAGGAGGAGGAGGAGGAGGAGGAGGAGGGAAAAAAGGAAGGAAGGAAGGAAGGAAGGAAGGAAGGAAGGAAGGAAGGAAGGAAGAAAGAAAGAAAGAAAGAAAGAAAGAAAGAAAGAAAGAAAGAAAGAAAGAAAGAAAGCGATGTCAGCTCAGTTCCAAATGTCACTGTCCAGACCTTGACTTTGGGAGCTGTATCCTACCCAGGGACATGGCACAGAGGAAGGGACTAGAATTTCTAGTATTTCTTCCCTCATTAGACCCAAGTCACCCAAGGGAAACTACTTATCAGGAATGTGTCTCAGTTTCCACTTCTATCAAAAAGGGTAGCACCAAGCCTGCTCCCAGTGTAGATTCAGAGATTAAATGGACCCTGGGATGTAAGTACCCTGACCCAGCACTGGCAGAGGTAATCCTCAGACCAAGGCACCCCTGGAACGACCTGCCTCTGCCCTCATCACAAATGGAGAAACTGAACTTGGAAAATATATATATGATTTTTCTAATGTTCGCACATGTACCAGGTGCCAGATCCCTGTCACCTCAAAACCAAACTCACTTTTCTGGAGTTTAAGAAATTAAGATAGGTGAGTGACTTCAAAAAACGCAGTTGCGGCCAACCTCTGGCCTCTCTGTTAGGGATTGGTTCTAATACTTTGAATTAATTTGCCTAGGTTCCCAAAATCAGGAATCTGCATGTCCAAAGCTGAGGTTCCTTGTCCTCAGTTGTTTTTTTTTCTTTCCTGATGCTTTTCATTATCATAGAACACGACACCTGTGATGTGTGCAAAGAAATGGGGCGGAGGGAGAGGAGGCGAGCTGGGAAGGCTAGCAGCCAGTTCACTTCTTTTCTTTCTTCTTGTCCTTCTCATTGAAGGCCAGGATCAGCATGAGCTTCCTGAAGAGTGTAATGAAATCCAGGAAGAGGTCGATGCAGTGCCAGATGTAATCCTTATCTCCGTTTTCAGCCTTTTCAATAGTGAGCTGAGTATCAAAGAGGACAAAGCCACACATGACCAGCAGCCCCAGGTACAGGTTTGCCTGGAACAGCCAAATGGATCCAAAGAAAAGGTTCCCCAGGGAGGACAAGAACATGAGGCTCATGGCTGACATCAAGACACCTCCCAGAAACAGGTAGCTCCGGCGCCTGGCGTAGAGGACACTCAGGCTGAAGCAGGTGAAGATCATGGCCGTGCCCAGGAAGGCCGTGGGGAGGATGCTGGGGTTGACAGTGATGCACAGCTCCAGAGCAGGTCCCAGGCCAACTCCTGTAAGGAAGGCGAAGCCAGCGAGAAGCCCCAGCCTTTTCTGCTCGGTCTCACGGCTGTGAGGTGTGGCCATCAGCCAGATCATCAAGGCCAAGGAGCCCAGGGCGGAGAGCAGGCCAGCCTGGATGAAGTGTGTGACCACATGGACATAGGCCCCTGCTGCCACCACAAACATACATAGTGCAAAACTGGCGTAGACCTTCTTTAGGTGCTGCTGTGTCGAGGGAGTTATGTGGGAAAATTTTAAGAGGGCATCAAAGTTGATCTTCCGATCAAATATATTCATGGCTCCAAGTCTGCTCAGCACAGCCTCCGCTTCTTAGCTCACCTCTCCAGAGCTTCCCCGCTCTGCTAAAACCAGATGTGCTCCCCAGTTGTTTTTTGATCCATCAATAAATTGACAACAGCCAATGGCCGGGCAGGTAGACTGAGGCAGGACCTTTAGATTTGCATGGGCTAGGAACTGGGAGAAAGGAAGGAGAGAAAACTATCCACTACATGTGACAATCAGGAAACTGGATGCACGGGCCACTTCCCCAATTATGTTTGAAGCAGCAGAGATGAAACATAGATTTTAAAAGATGTTTAACTCAGAAGTACCCGAGGGGAGTGTTTGCTAGCAGTGGGAAGGATTAGAACTGCCCAGCCTTTGAGCTAGTCAAGGCATTTAAAATTAGCTGGCGTGTTTCTGTGTGTGTGTGTGTGTGTGTGTGTGTGTGTGTGTGTGTGTATTTCATTCACAAATCCAGAGGTCTCTAGCTGGTGGCTGGGAGCGTGACCTGCCAGGAGCACAAAGCAGTTTAGCTGAAGTCACTGCTAAACCTCTCTGCTGGCAGATGTATACTCTCTGGCAGCGTTTGCTATGATTCTGACCCTCCTGTCCTGGAGACCCTAACTCAACTTATTGTGGTAACCACTGAGCTCACACCCCTACGATGACTTGCTAGGGGCCAAAGCCTCAATCAGCCCTGCTGGTTGAATGGGATACTAGACACGTAAGAAGGTTTGAGCTTTGTGTGAAAAACTCCAGGAATTTAGCACCATTTGATTCTTGACGGTGTGAGAGATTAAGTCAGAGCCAGCCTGTGAAGCCCACCCCTGCATTATTTACTTTACTATGGCAAAATATCGGACAAATGCTGCCTTTGAAAGACTTATGGCTTGTAATTTGAAGGTACAGCCCATCATATTTGGAAGCCATGACACCAGAGGTGTGAGGCAGCTGGTCACACTGCACCTGAAATCCGGAAGCAGAGAGAGGAGTCTGATCTTTGTTTTCTTTGGTGGGGGAACCTGCCTATCCACTCACATTCAGGCTGGGTCTTCTCACATCAATGAGCATAATCTAGAAACATAAAATGCCCAGAGGCTTGTCTTCACTGCGCCTGGGTCTGTTGTCTCACTAGCATGTGCCTATTGTCCCTGTGGTCACAGGTGATGTTGGCACTGTGGGATCAGGTCTAAAAAGCAACTTCACCTCCAAGAGAAGAGAATGGGTTTCCTGCAAGCCTGACCTTGCTGCAGGACCTTCAGCCCCTCCTCCACTCCCCCATGGCCCTGTCTGTTCCCCCATGCCGGCCCACACACCAGCTTCCCTCCATTGTCTGTGTTGGTGGTAACTCTCCTCACAGCTGCTAGAAAGGGCTGATGAGTCAGCGTGACCAGAGGTCAGTGCTGAACGACAGGATGAAGGAAGGAAGTACAAACAATGATCAGCGCCGATCTTGTTCCGTAAAGCAACACGTCACTGCTTATGCGATGAACGCCACCTCTCCCTGCCCACTCCAACTCAGAAGCCGGATTTCAGCCCAAGGCAGACCCAGGAGCCTGAGTTACATCCCTATTGGCATCCTCATTAACCTGGCCGTTTGTATGAGCCGCAGTTTACTCAGCCCCAGGACATGTGTGAGGACGGAGAAGGAAGGGATCCCATTTGGAGCAGGGAGAGAGGCCCTCCCCAAGGGGTATTACCACACAGCTGTGCTCCATCGCCATGGCTCTCACAGCCTGCACACAGGCACGTGCTGTCGCGGATGCGCGCTCTCTCACAGCCCGCGCTGACTCCTGCGAGCGCGCTCAGGCTGCCCCCTGGACTCCTTTTACTCTGCTTAATGGAGCTGCATCCAAATCAATTGCAAAGGTCCCTCTACCTCCCCAGACTTCCTTCTGTGTCTCCTAGCTCACCTTGTACTTCTTGTTGAAAGCCAGGCATACTGTACTGGGTCAGAGAAACCCAGCAATGGTTACCATGGAGACTGCTGGTCTTGGGTTTCTGCTCCCATAACTTGTAGTTCTCTCAGTCTTCTTAGCTGACTCTCTAACTTCAAGAGTGGGATAGTATTTTGCCCTACAACCTCAGTCCTTTGATTGGCTGAAGCCATGAATTTTCAGCGTGCCGGTCCTTTTCTCCTGTTGTGTAGACAGGACCTTCAGAGTTTCTTAGACCCCCTACAGAGATTGAAAGCCAGGCCAGGGTGATGTCTGAGTCAGTACAGTACTTACCGTAGAGAAGGACCTGAGTTCATTTCCTGGAAACCAGGCTTTAGAAGGTCTGGGGCGGGTGCTTATGCATTTGTTTTCCCAGCTATGGGATGGTGGAGACAGGCACAGGGGGGTTGCCAGACAGGAAGTCTATGCAGCAAGCTGCAGGCCAGTGAGAGCCCCTGTCCACCACCCTCCCAAAAAAAAAAAAAAAAAAACCAGTTCGATGCCTGATGTTGGCCTCTGCTTCCATGTACACTTGCACATATGTGTACTCACACAAACACAGATCCACATGCATAAACATACAGAACAATCACAAGGAAACAAGATTTATCCACTCTTTTCACTCCCCAAATCCATACCACCTTTTGATGTCTACATACACCAATGTCTCCAAGATGCTGCTTACTCCATGAGCTCTACCCTGGGGATTTGTACCCCCTCCATGGCCCCATCGCTATGTTTCTGATATCTTTACGTCTATCGAAAGGCTGTTCCCTTTCTTTAAAAATTTCCTGAAACCCTAGTCAAAACTTCTGGTGGGCTTGTTCCAACTATCTCTTGGAGATAGTACATCTATCTGACATGCTCACCCATAGCACTGTAACCTGGGTTCTGTCTCTCTTGGGAGACTAAGCACCTTAGCCACAATGAGAGTGGGTCATCGACCCAGGCCCAAGAGCACGATGAATAGATACTAGTTGATTAATGTTTATGACTCTCAGGTCCCATGCAGACAGGCAGGCACATTGGATGAGTTTCCAAAAATATTTCAGTTGACATCACTAGCCTATATTTTCAGGAAGTGACCAAGAATGAAGTAAGGCACCTTCATATGAATGCAGAAATTAAGATCCTGAGAATACAGCTCTGCTTAGAGTAGTAGCTAGATTATACCATTGGGAATTTTCTTAAGAACTATGGCAGGGGGAAAGAACAGAGCAGAGAGACTAAGAAAAACAAAAGAGAAGGGAGTTGAAACCCACAAAGGAAAGGGGAGGCTGAGCGAGACAGCCCAGGAGGGACTGCTCTAGGCGCGGAAATGCTTCTTCCTAAAGCCATTAGTGTTATTACAGCAGAAACAAACGCTTGGCTCCCCGGGCTGTTGGCCTACTCTAAGTATTCCCAGTGCCTCCTGTGAGTGGATTTCTGACATACAGCTCTGAGGCCTTGTGTTTGGACAGACACAGAGAGAAGCAGCAGCCACAAGATGTCCCTAAATAATATTTGTTCAGAGAGAATCAGAGGACTTGGGACCATTTTAGCAGCAGTCAATATCGGTGAAGCTGATACACAAATGAGCAAAGAAGCAGACAGAAGTGCAGCAGAGGCACACCTTGGAGACAAGGTGATGGTCTGGCCTCTGTTCACTATGAGCAGTCAAGACCAGCCACAGGTTGGACACTGAGAGCTACCGTCAGGACAGTGTGTGGAGAAAGGAAGACCATGGAGGCTTTTTTATTCTACTGTATTTTGTCAGTCATACTAGACTAAGACTTCAATTGCCCAAGTGGGAAGATCTAGGTGGGAGTTCACAGTCCATCGGTCAAGAGCTAGGAAGCAATGAAGTAGAGAGGTGGGGGAGGGTACAAAGGGACCAGCCAACCTCCTGCTGTGAGTTGGGCAAGCCACCAGAACCCAAGACCGATTACTCTGAACTTAGAGTCTCATGTGATAGATGAAAATTCTCCCTTCCTCCCTTCGTGTGTGTGTGTGTTTGTGTGTAACATGTACTTGTTCATGTGTACATGCACATATGTACACCACAGTCAACACTGGCTGTCCCCCCAACTCACAAGACAAGGTCTTGCACTGTTCTGCAGATCATCAACTAAGATACACTGGTTGATCAGAAAACCCTGGGGGTCCTCCTGTCTCCGTTTCCCAGGTGCTGGGATTACAGATTTGGGAGTCTGTGCCTGGCTTTTTATGTGGGTGCAGGAACTCTCCCCAGCAAGCCTTTTACAGACTGAGCCACCCCATCTTCCCAACCCCCAAGTCTAGCTGAACCTCTTCCAACTATCACATTACCCACTGCGAGGGAGAAACTCAAGATGGGCCTCAAACACATAACACAACATTAATGTAATTGCCAGAGCCCTCCCAAGGGGCGGCATGGAAACACCACAGAAGCAGAGCAAATCCAAATGAAAAACCCCTCTCACAGGCCAAGATACTGAAGGAAGCTTTACTGAAACATGGGTAATTTTGTTTGGGAAAACAAAGAGTCAGATTACAAGCACGGCTTGTAAGAGAAAGTTATTGAATGCTTTCAAACAGCTTGAATGAAAGCGCTTGGCACATGAAAAGCCATCAGCGTTTCTGCAGGTGTATATCAGGTTTAGACATCTGATTCTGCTTACCTGGCCCTGGCAAAGCCAGTGAGCCCAACATTAGACATAACCATTCTTGCTTAATGCTTTTCTCAAAGCCCATATAATTCACTGCCGGGGTTGTATTTCATGTTTAGGCTGTCTGGCTTGCTTTGTTCTTAAGCAACCAACCAACCAATACTGGCAGACCAAACATTCTTCAAGAGTTGTGAAATCACAGAATGTAAATTCTGGGAGGTGGCTCTGAAATCCAGATCCAATCCCTCTGCCTCTCTGAAGGCACATTGGGCATAAGAGAGGATAGGGCATGCTGTCCTGGGCCACAGGAGGAGGGACCCTCAAACATGAAGGGAACCAACTTCAGATCACACAATGCTTCTGATATCATACCACCTAGACTTAATGCACCCACTGTTGAGTCTTTTTCCCAGTTTGCAAGTTCTCCATGAAATCTCTTTCTGACATTCAGTCTGCCTCTAAAAACATGTTAGGACCCATATGTCAGAACAGATAACCGGGTCTTAGAGAGATGCCCAACTGGCCCAT